ATATAATTAATACTAAATCTTTTTCATGGTGTCACACAAACAAATACAATCTTCTCAACGAATATTCTTGGAAATGTTTTTTGTTGTTGTTTGTATCACCCTTACCTTTCATTCTGCGCTGTTCACTTTGTGCACACAAAGACCTGTAACATAATAACACAGTCAACTGGGGTTTAATCCAAACAGCAGCAAAATTGCTGGATGTGTTACAATTGTGTGCCAAAGAGGCATGAAAGACCTGAAATTGCTGGATAATTGGAGGAAAAAGGCAGGAAGCTTTGTTTGGCCTGGTGAGCATCCCACTTCCCTTTTTGCTGAAGAGCATTAAGGAAACGTCTAGTCATAACCTGAGGAAGATTTTTTCCAACTCAATCAATAGTTCCACATTTATACTCCGAGACGGAGTGTTTTCTTTTGTGAGAACGCCGTAGGAGCAGGACTGTACGATGATTTATTTCTGTTTGGTGTCAAGCAATGTTTTCTTTTCTTAGATTAAAGGCATCGATAGGCACAGAGTACTGGACATTATACATAAAGAGGAATGGAGAACAAGGGATAGGAGGAGGAGAAGGAGGAGGAGGGGAAAATTGGGGGAAATTTTAGGGCCAAAAATGTATTTATCCAAATATAGAATGAGTGGTGAGAACAATAAATGAGTGGGTGAGTGTATGAGTGAGCGAGTGAATGAATGAATGAACAAGTGAGCAAATTAATGAGTGACTGAATGAATTGATAAACAGTTAGTGAATGAGTGAGAAAATAAATGAGTAAGTGAACAAATGAACGAGTGAGTCTGAGAGTAAGTGACTGAATAATGAATGAGTGAATGCTTAAAAACAGCACATAAATAAGAAAGCAGATAAAAGCATGAATTGATGAATTAATGAGAAAGAGAGTGAGTGAGTGAATGAGTGAAAGTATGAATGAATGCATTTGTGAGTGAGTGAATGAATGGATGCATGGATGGATGGATGAATGAATGAGTGAATGAAGGGTTTAAAAAGTATGTGGATGAGTGGCTAAGTGAGAAAATGAATATAAGTGGAGTGAATGAAGTCGGTGAGCATGTGACTGAATGAATGAATAATGAGTGAATGAATGGTAATAAAAAGTGAGTAAATGAGTGAGTAAATAAAAGAATGGATGAATTAATTAATCAGAAAGTGAGTGAGTGAATGACTGAATGAATGGTTAAAAATATGTGGATGAGTGGCTAAGTGAGAAAATGAATGAGAGGGTGAATGAATGAATGAGTTGGTGAGTATGTGACTGAATGAATGAATGAATGAATGAATGAATGAATGAATGAATACAGAAATTGTAAATAAATAATGACTGTGAAAACCCCTGAGAGCAAATGAAAAAGAATGGGAGTCAGTGAATGAGTGAGTGAGTGAGTGAGTGAGTGAGTGAGTGAGTGAGTGAGAGTGAATGAGTGAGTGAGAGCGAATGAATGAGTGAATGGTAAATAAGTTCATGAATGAGGCTTGTGTTTCTTACTAATGTTATAAAAAAACAAAAAAAGTTTAAATTCATGACTGATATTGCTGCACTTTACAGCTTTTACAGCACCAGGGTTTTGTTGTTTGCACCAGTAAAATGTAGGTGACAATAACTGGAACTGCAGCACTGTGAACAGCATGTGAGACCTCACGCAGCAAACAGCACTGGTGCGTTACAAAGCTGTGAAATTAACGCAAGACGTGACGCATGATGGAGAGTCAGACTGCATGTATCTACTGTTGCTGCTGTTGATGATGAACCAACACTTCAACACTCAGAATGTGCTACTAACAGCAGTGGAAGGAAAGAAAATTCTTTATGTTAATTATCACTTGAAGCGTGACTCCATTTGGGGGGCTGCCCTAACTCGAAACACACAGCAGATCTTTATATTCACTGGAAACATACAATATGTTTACATATATATGACAAACACATGCATTGAAAACACAAGGTTTGTTTATATATTGTGTCTGTCCTAAAAAACCAAAACATGTATCTCACAAAAGGTAATTTAAAGGAAAAAAGCAAAAATATTCTTAGCTTTTAATGTAAATCAATGCAAAAAGTTTCATTTTAAGTGATTTTGGAGCATTTCTGTTGCTCCATTCATCATGAAATTTACCACACAATATATAGAGCAGCTGCTGTGTTCAAATGATGTATGAAAATAGAAAGAATAAAAAAGAAGATATGTTTGTTTTTGTTTTCCTTTTTTTTTGGACAGTGGAAATATATAAAATATACTGATCATTTTCATTTCACTCATTCATTCATATCAATTTCCCTTGTTCAAATATCTTGCTTAATTTGATAAACGTCAGCTTTTCTACAAGATTATTTATTAAAAAACATTCCAAGACACTTTATCACCCGTATTTCCAAAGCTCAGACAGGGCCACATGTTTAATAAAGGGGTCACTCTTGTTAATCATAGTGAACTGTGGTGTTTAGGGAGCCGATACATAATAACGACTGATATGTTTAATAAAGATTATTTCCAATCTTGCCTTTGGATGGTCAGATTTCTACTGCTGGGCTTCATTAAAAGACACCAAAACCCCCATCAGTTCAAATTGTT